CAAAATCTATGTACAAATCTCAATGATTTGTTTACAAAAGTTTATTTTATTTTTTTTTTCAAATTAACCATAGCGTTTCAAAGAAGTATGGTTGCCATGATAACGATTTTCCCTTAGATTTGTATCACTTGTTTTGCGTATGCTCGTAGAGAGCGAAACGTTGATGACAACATTATAAAAAATTTAGTGTTCAACTGTTTTTCAAAAATTAGCTGTTACATACTTTGTTCAGGTGCTTCCTACCAGCCATTTTTTCATATATATATATATATATATATATATATATATATATATATATATATATATATATATATATAAAAATATTACAAACACTAAATTCTTCCGCTATCGCAGTTTCTACCAACAAAGAGTTCCTCAGATACTGATAAGCTCAATTTTTACTCTATCACTGAATTTATACATTTTGGTGTTTGTGGTAAAGGTAACGGGATGCGTTACACACACACACACACACATACATACATACATACATATATATATATATATATATATATATATATATATATATATATATATATATATATATCAAACATATTAATCTCTATATCGTAATCAAATGCATACTAATTATAAACAAGATGAACATATACTAAAAAAATAGTAAATACTAATATATCTACAACAGATCCTAGCAAAAAAAATATTTTCATCATATACTACACTAAATCTAGTATATCCAACTAAATTATTCGCAATGATTCTTCTCCCCCGGTTAGCGATTTGCAAAAAAAAAACAACAAATTAAATAATATTTATGTTGGTCACACCACAAACTCGCTTTCACGATGCTTGACAGGACATTTGAATGAAAACTCTAACATTTTTAGGCATTTAAAACATGACTGGGTGCATACACAATTCCGGAAAATCCTTGTTGAAAACACAACTATAATTAAACATGAAAACAATAAACAAAAACTAAAAATTCTTGAAGCTATATACATAAAACAGTTGAAACCTAACCTGAACAAAATAAACTACGAAATCTCCACAAACATTCTTAAACGCCTATAATTGATAACAGAAGCCACTGGTTTATACCAACGGCTTCCCATACTTAATACATCTCGAATTCACTCTCGCGTGGTCATGTGTGACATCATGAACTGCGATGCGATTTTCGCTTCCAGTGGCCCGTATGCACGAGTTTGTCGTTGCTTGGAAATCTGCCGTGTAAACAGAAACAGACTATCATTACTGTCTTGTCCGTGTATTGCTTAATATATTGTAATGTAATTGTCATATTTGCTAATGGCTTATGTAATCCGAATGCTTAGATAGGATAACAAAATATGTATGAATGTTGTCAGTTTCTTTATTCGTTTAATGGTAATGTTATTAAGCTTATCAGCTTTACATAAAATAGACAAAACTTGTCTATAATATTTAATGAAATATATATATATATATATATATATATATATATATATATATATATATATATTATTATGAATATATCATGCAAACTTGAATCCTCCAGTGCTTAATAAAACTGATCGTTTGCATTCTCGTGATAATGATTGAAAATTGTGTGTTAAGACTTCTTTATTTTATTATTGTTGCCTAAAATATTATAATTAATAATCTACAATTCATATCATTCCAGTTTTTAACACCTGTTTATAACACCTCTGTAAGGATTATACATATGTGTGCAAGTATATGTGCGTATATATATATATATATATATATATATATATATATATATATATATATAGTTTAAACATACGCATAAACATACACATACACATGTATATATGAATGATAAAATGATTCCTATATATATATATATATATATATATATATATATATATATATATATATATATTAAAGTGAATAAAGTCAACATTTAGAGGTGACAGTCTGTTTCATGCTAGATGCAATGCAGATTGCATCTAGCATGAAAAAGACTGTCGCCTCTAAAATTGACTATGTGCACTTTCATATTTACACCACTATATCTCTGATATTGAGCACTTTATCCCATGAATATAGCACATCTTAAGACTATATTTCATATATATATATATATATATATATATGAAGATATATATATATATATATATATATATATATATATATATATATATATATATATATATATATAAAGAGAGAGAGAATGTGAGAGAGGGGTGAAAAAAAAAGCATTGTGTAACTTGTTCTCTTGATGTCTGCCTTGTCTATATCCATTCAATTTACTGTCTTCTGCTCGATTTCGGTCGCCCCCCAACCGGCGCAGATATCTCTTGTTCGGCTATAACAAGCATAAAACAAGTCAATAATAGATCAGTCATTTCTTATTCTTAGAGTACTCCCGAAATACATTATCTCTTCAGCTTTGAACGCGATAATTTCCGGCCGGATCCTTCTATAAAGACTTCTCGTATGTCGTTACCAATGAACACTAATAAAAATTCATCGCCAATTCCGTCTCGTACCTTCCTTTCTTCGTTGATTCCAGAATGCTAATATCCCTGGCCTCGTCCTAATTCTGAGTCGGGCACTGTGCCAATGAAATCTTCATAAATAAGGATAACGTGTAATTAACAAGAAAAGACGCTCAATTGTCCTAAGTACGCACTAATGGAAACCGTGTTCTCCATGTGTTTTCTGGGTTGGTGTTGGCTCAATGACGGGTAGGTGACAATTGTTTGGGAATCGGCGCTGCCTTCTTAAGAACGATATTAAAGTATTATTACGGATTTTCTAGCGAATTAAGAACAAATGAAAATATTTGGAATGTTAAAGTGATGACGTTGTCTAACTATAAAAAAATGCACGGGAAAAAGATTAAAAAGGCAAACCAAAGGCAAGAGAAAGTAAGTAGAGAAAAAAAAATTTTTTTTCGATTTTCAGCCGTCGAAGTGCCGCTGAAATGCACTGAAACGATGTTTCATCTTTGTAGCGAGTAAAATGGTTTTGTCTATATGATAAAATTATAATAAATAAATAATTATCGCTCTACTATCGGTATTGAGCCCTTTTTTGGATTAATGTTGTGAACGTTGGAATTTATATATTACTTTCGCTCTCATAGCATCGGATATATATATATATATATATATATATATATATATATATATATATATATATATATATATATATATATATATATATTCTTATTCCTTCCAGCTATCGGTAAATAGCAGGACAGACTGGGTTCTATAGCCTTGGATGGCAACTGGTCTAGGAGAAGGACAACTCTGAATTCAAAACCTGCGGTGGGGTTGTTTGGGAACCTTGTGGCACTCAGTGCACCAGGTCTCTGTATTCGGCCCTTCAAAAAGTGTGGATGGTCCTGCGCGAAACCTTCACCACTATAATCAAATCTCATGTGCTGTTGTCGGGCTCTCGGTTTCCTAGGAACTGGTCTGCTTGACCCCCATACGTCGAATTCGACGGGAGAGTCGAGAATATATATATATATATATATATATATATATATATAGATAGATAGATAGATAGATAGATAGATAGAGAGTGAGAGATGTAGTTAGTAATTCTAGAAGGATAAAGATACACTAATAAGCAACGATACTTTTATAAAATGTATGGAAATCAATTTACAGTTGATTTAGTACATGGATCATAAGAAACAACTGCTTTTAGCAAAAATATTCTGAATTTTGGAGAGATAATTCCACGTGTTCGGAGCAGCAACATGTAAGATCGAATTTTGTTTATAATTTCTCTAATCCCCTTCTGAGTCTAATCAAATTAACTCTGAGAGACACCTCAGAAGTTTGCAAACCACGTGTTGGGAAAGTGAACTGAGGTGTAATTGCAAACATTTCTGATGTATAGAGATTTTTTTATATACAAAATTTGTTTCTTAAATAGACTTGAATACCAAACTTGAGACCTGCTGGGAATATATTTAACATTCCATCTATGGAAGTTTTCTCCAAAATAAACCCTAGGACATTCACTAAGTTCTTCTAGTATACGTAAGCTTAGATATATATGTATATATTTGTTCATACAAAAAACTCAGTATGCGTCCCCATGAATCCATCTATATAGTTAAGCAGGCTGGAAAACGAATGGAACATTGAAATAAGATTATCTTAATAAAGATAAAAATAATCATATTATTTTTTTTGAGTTATTGCATAAAGAATACAATAAGGATTTTTTATGCATTTGCCGTTAATCAACTTGTTAACTGGTGTGGTGAGTTCAGTTTTGTCTGTTGCGTTCGCGTTATCCTTAATCTAATGTATGATTCCATTCCTTCTCCTTCCCCCAGTTATGGGTTAAATAGGAAGGTATACTAGGCTATCTTGCTTTGGTTGGTAGCTAGTCTAGGAGAAGAGCAACTCTGAATCTATACTGTGAAAAGTCAAGAGGAACACATCCCTATTTTTTTTCAAAAATTCATCGCAACCCACTGTTAATAATCAAAAGGAATTTGCCGTGATGTATCTCACCCACGCGCTCAAAGGACATGGCATTAAAAATGTATTTCTAACGCTTTGTTGCGTGCAACGTTATAAAATATTATCAAATTCCTGTTATGTGTAATTTAATACCGTCTTTTAAGATTTTATTCGAGATGTTGCTAATAATTTTGAAAATCATATTTTCTTTGATCCTGGAAGCTAAATAATAAATGTGTTTCTATTACGCGCCAAGTTACTACAGAAAGTTGGCGATTATTGATGTCCACGGATTTCTGGTTTGTGTTACACTAAGTAACTTTTGCTTCTTTGCCCTTCTTCTTTGTCTTAGTTCTACAATCCATTCATGCTCTCTAATAGGTTAATTGTTTTCGCCCCAGCTTCTCTGAACTTTAATACTTCTTGTGAGTGTTAAATTCTCTAGGCCCCTTTTTCTTATTATATGCCCTAGTAATTTCAACTTAATTTTTCTCCATGTAAGTTTCCTTGTTTTTCATACCTTCATTAAGACTATTTTTTCTCTTTTTACACATATTCTGTCCATTATATTCTTATCATTCATCAAGGCTTACTTTCATATTAACACACCGGATCCCGTACAATTACCGAAGTTAAGCAGCATCGGGCCTTGTCAGTCGCTAGATGGGTGACCGCTTCAGAATACCAGATGCTGTAAACTCGGATGTGCAGGTGATAAAATGGATAATGGTTCGGAATTGTTAAACGGAGAGCCTAGTTCCAATTTCATTTGGGTTCGTCATTTCACTATTGCACAAGTATCATTGGGGATGGTATGAATCCATCTCTTCTCCCCCAGTTATAGGTTAAATAGTAAGACTTGTATCACTATTATTTCTGATTTTAAATAGTCTGCAAAGCGTTGATAAACCGTAGAAAAAGAATCAATCAGATCAAACAAGTAAATCTCTCTCTCTCTCTCTCTCTCTCTCTCTCTCGCTTCAAATTGTCCAGTATTCATTGCTATATAGAATATTGAAATTTTACACAACAGTTTAGCTTGCTTTACGTCATCATTAGCGTAGATTTTTAAAACCAAGTCCTGTTTTAGTAAGTCCACGGGTTTGAATCTCATTCCCGACGTATTTCTTTTGTACGAATGATATTCAACAAAGAAAGCTTCTTGCATGCTTCTCTGAACACTACACTCTTAATGACTTCAATGAGAGGGTCAATATTTGCCTGCACTCACAACCTTCGTAATCTTCACTTCTTTCCTCTTCCTCTTACTTTCATTTTACACATATCATTCCGTAACTCTCTAATTTAAGTGCCTTTTGAGCCTGGTATTTAGTGAACGTTAGTGAAAAAATTAAATAAATGACATTATTTCTGAGCGCATTCGGATTTTTTGTCACATGTTCTATAACGATTTTCTTCACTAACCGTTTATAGTTTACGAATAAAAAAACGCGAGTCAAAACAAGATAATCTCCTTTATTTGATAATCCTTCTGAAATTAATACCAAGTTTGACACAAGTATATCACAACCAGTATTCTTAATCTAAATCTCAGTCGTCCAATATATCCATCTACCAGTATGATATAGTCAAATCCTTAAAATTCTTCGACTGAACTAGTTATCTTTAATGAAATTAATGTGGCCAGTACCCAAATGCAAGAATCATATGTGAATTAACAATACTGGAGAAACAATGGTCTTGAATCACTACGATAAAAAAGAAAAGAATCTACGTTCATTAGAAACGTTTAATAATATCTGACCACTCATATTCGAGGATACCCGTTTACTATGGTGACTAGCCAATCTCTATTTTAGACGCTCGCTCAGGCAGATTTGTATTTGTTCAATACCCAGGGAACACAGATGTGGTTTGTACTGCAACTATGCTGCGCAGAACTTACAGTTTCTTTGAGAGCATCTTATCTAGCGGGGTCAAAAATTTGAACAAGGTCAGCGCCATAAAGCCATCGACCACGATGACTTGTGGCTTCGTGCTAGTACAGCTATCGACGGTTCACAAGAGTTATGTCAACCCAATGTCACTCATAAGGCTTGGTCAACGCGTGGTACGTTTTTCAGGCACTTTCAAAAGGTGGCGCACGCTGGGATCATGTTTGATCCAGTCCGGTAACAACAGGAAATCACCATCCTGACAAATCTACCGAACACGTGTCTAATGGTCAGAAATCGAACGTGGTTAGAACATTTACTTTCGCCCATATAATAGAAAGGTATAGTGTGAATATTACTAACAGATGACACATTTCTATATTTGATTGTTATATATTAGCATGTGAACATATTTCGTTTGCATAACGAATAAAATATCTTCTTTTATTTACGTCCTTTCTATCCAGAAACTTATAGATACTGGAATTTGTCACTTTGAAAGGCGATCAATATAAGGCAATTCATTCCAAAAATGGTCAGACAAAAAATAATGTGTGGGCGCTCAGGGAAGCAGATGGACATATTTATTGATGGACTCGTTGGTATGCTTACTGCATTGCATCAGCCTCCGAGTTGTTTAAATGATCGAATATATACATGCATGCATAGGTATATTATGAGTACTTAGCATTTATTTTAAGCGGCCTCTTTCATTGCCGGATTATATGTTCTCAGGAGAAATCTAGATTGGTGTTCAATCCCAGTTAAGATCCAATAGCTGTAGTGCAAATTTTCGCAAGAAATCTCTCTAGATTTAATTTATTTGCATAGCACTCTTCAGTTCAGATTTCCAATTTGTCGGTCTTGTATACTGAGTGTTCGAGACAGTTTTTTTATATGGAAAACAAAGTGAATAGCATAGCCATAAATTAATTTATTCTAAAAATAGAAAAGACAGCTTATAATTACCAAGAAACAATTCACTCAAAGATGCCATGATCAGTATCTACCATGGCCTCGATACCTCTCCGGAATCTGGCACATGCAACCTTCATGATGTATCTAGAAAGAGTCCTAAACACCTCTTTAATCCTACCGATCAGCTGGGCCTTTGTGTTACAGGTATTGCGGTTGGCATATTTCTCAATCGCGCCCGTTCGTAATAATCCATCGGATTACAATCAGGAGTTGAAGCTGGTGAAGTTGTAAAAATTATCTGACAACTACCTCTGAATCTTCCTATAGGTGTTGCGGGCAGCTGAATTTTGTTGCCACACGTATGGTATTCCAGCAGCGACCCTCTCCAACTAAGGTTTGCCCACGGGGTTCAGAAACTCAGCATAGGCATATAAATTGAGTCAGAGACCTAGTTCAAATATAAGAGGTGGTATGACATCACCCTCATTGGAGATACACCCAAAAGCATCACAGTTTGGGGAAATTTGGTCTTCATGGAATGAGGAACATCACATAGATTGTAGGCACGCTGTTGGGCAGATGGTTCTGACAAACATTCTTCTCATCAGAGGATCAGATTGTCCCTGGTCCAACATAATATTTCTCTTTAAAAGAATTTTACATTTACATCTCTTATATGACAGGTCCTCATTCAAGGCCAGCTTCAAGGTGCAAATTGCAACTCCTATTTCCCGCGCCAAAGCCAGCATCCCCTTGTCGGGATCTTCCATCATTTTCTCCTTCAGTTGTTGGGTGTATCCTGGTATATGTAGGTAATCAGAATAACAGCCGTCTTATTTCCTACAAGCCATAACGTCGTAGTCTCCGTTGCAGCTCTCCATTCCACGTCTTATTGTTGTCCTGGTGTTCAAAGAGCATTGATCAGCTGTCAGGATTGCAGCATTTTAATTCCTGGTATGAATCATTACGATGCAGGTTAAACTTTTCCAATATTCAGGTGGCTTCCACTTGTCCATCTAAGTTAACTTTGACATCTCTAAAACTGTAGCGACTGTGTCAAAATTACGTTCACTGTTTGCAGTTATTCCAAACCATTCAGAAAAAAAACACATACATTAGACTCTGCCAAATTTATCCCAAACAACCTGTACTTCTAAACAACCCGTAAATTTCGAATCCATTGCTACGTCAACTGCTAAGAAAGTTGGTTCACCGTGATGATTTCTCTCCAGAATCCATCATACATATCTACCATTCATCCATGCTTAGAATATTGCTGACACATATGGTCTGGTGCTCCTCCTATTTTCCAGAGGGCTTCTTGATAATATCCAAAAAGAAGAATTTGCAATATTATATATCCTGACCTGCCGCCTCGGATTCAGTCACTTTTCTACCGCCGTAAAGATGACTCCCCCCACCTTTGCCTTTTCTATAAATACTTTCATGGTACTTGTTCGGATACGCTCTTCGCTATAGTACCTAGACTTTTTGAATTGAAGTACAGTACTAGATTGGCGTCTAGATCTCATCAATTTACATTTGAAGTGGCTAGATGTAACTGTAAATTCTATGCTAACAGTTTTTCTCGCAATTCTCAATTGTCGAACTCCCTTTCGGCTCCATATTCTCCAGCCAACTTTAATCTTTAAAGTTTTAAGTCCAAAACTCATTTTGAATTTAAGCACAGTGCTAGACTAGAGTCGATATCTTATCAATTTACAGCTGAGTTGGTTAAATGTAACCGTAATTATTATACTAACAGTTTCTCATCTCGCCCTTCCCACTTGTGGAAATTCCTTCAGGCTCCATGCTTTCCAATAGATTTTATTCTTCGAAAACTTAAATTCGATGCCAATCGCTATGTACTCTCCTCGTAATTACTTTTTTCTCTTTCCGCTCCTTAGTAATGTTTCTGTTCCTAATTCTCCCACATCTTGCAGCCCCTTTTATTTTTGGTAGCTTTACTGTCGTTCATGGGGTGAAATCGATTAAAAAACTGAATACCAAACATTGCTTTGGGCGTCAAAAATAATAAGACATCTAATTTGGGTCAATGTATTGCATGGAATTCATACCAGGAGATGCCAGATGGTCTGAATCGAATTTAATGTGAATAACGTATCTCAGCTCTCTGTAAAGTTGATCTCTGATAACCCCAATATATATAGTGGGCTGTCCCTAAAAGACAAAAGTAGACATTACACTGTGTATCACACAAGAGCAAACGAGTAGCCAGATGCATTTTAGGGTTAATCTGGAAGGTAGACACCAGGAATTGATTCGTCCTTCAGAGTATGTCAGTAGCTTCCCTCCAGTTATGTAAAGAGGTTGTCGACTCAGTAGCGCTAAGGATGTGTAATCGTGCGACAACCAGATAAAAGGAAGTTATATAAGCAGCCAATCCGACAGGGAAAATAAAGTGAGACTTTGATATCGCCCCGAGAAGTAGAGCCACATTCGGACAAATCTCCCGAAGCCACACGGTCATTCGACGACATTAATTGACGAGGTCGTAAGGTAAATAAACAAGCACACTACGTATGCAAGATTTAGTTTCGTTTTTGTATAAGTATTTAAAAGGGTAACGTTAAACCACAATCAGAATTCTGTTCAGCAAAATCTGTGTGCAAGGACGGTTTGATAGAAGTCACTAGTCACTACTTACGATACTATAATGGTATTAGTAGAATGCGTATAGCTTTGAAATTTTGCCGTTTAAAATGAACTGTACGTAACTGTACGAAAGTACGATGAACAATTCTATCATTATGATGACTAATTTATCTCAAATATACTATCGATATTCCGAGAAAGTGAGGGTATTGTATGCCGTTTAATCCAGACAGTGTCGTGTTCATGAAGATATACATAATTAAAAAAA